AGCGAATCTTTTAGGACAGAACGCGGAGCCCAAAGTTGGGGACCAGGGGCCAGGGATGGGGGCCTGAGCTGGCAGGGGCGTGTCGGCCCTAAGTGGGGCCACCCTTATCCCGGGGCCGCGGGCCGGCGAGGGCGCAGGGTCGTCGGGCTGAACCACCCTCGCTTCGGGCGCCAGTGGGCTTCGGACTGTGGTGGAGCACGGGCCCCTCTTCTTTGTGTGTGAGCCCCCCCCTCCCCCGTGCGCTCCCGCTCCGGATTTGGAGCTACCCCTTAGTTTGGGGGTCTCTCGTCCACCGCTATCTGGAGCGGGCTAAGGTCCGGGTGCCCTGGGATCCTGAGGACCCCGAGGACTGAGGACTGCAGTCCTGCTGAAATCCCCCCTCCCGGCCCTGAGGTGCAGGACAGGCCTCTGACCCCACCCTCCCAGGATTGAGCTTCCACCCTACCCATATTGGGGGAGGGGGTCCCCCCCCCCCTCCCCCGTGCGCTCCCGCTCCGGATTTGGAGCTACCCCTTAGTTTGGGGGTCTCTCGTCCACCGCTATCCGGAGCGGGCTAAGGTCCGGGTGCCCTGGGATCCAGAGGACCCCGAGGTCTGAGGACTGCAGTCCCGCTGAAATCCCCCCTCCCAGCTCTGAGGTCCAAGGCCTCTGACCCCACCCTCCCAGGATTGAGCTTCCACCCTACCCATATTGGGGGAGGGGGTCCCCCCCTGCTGGCCGCAGGTGCTCTGACGAGGTTGCACTACTGTGCTCTGAGAAGCAGTGCAATGATATTGTCAAAGCATCTGGGACCAACCATGGGGGCCCCCATCCCCCACACCTCCACCTCCTCCTCCCAGGCGGGGCCCCTTGGGCCTGCAGGTTCTCCCCTCCCCCCTGGCCTGCTGGCTCCCTTCTCCATGGAAACTTGAGATCCTGGCCAGGCCTGGGCCTCTGGGGTCAGAGGGCACCCTTCCCCCAGGCAGAGGCCCCGCCCCAGTGGGCCTGCATTCCTGGTCTGAGATCCCCACCGACAGACCACCGGGAGCGGCTAGGCAGGCGCTGGCAGGCCTGCCTGACACTCTTTCCCTGTTGCACTACTGTGGGCTGCTGGGAAGCAGTGCAATGATGAAAGGGCATCGGTCGGGTCTAGTCCACCACACACAGCACCTGGGGGGAGGGAGTTTTGCTGCCTCAGTCCACTTCCCGGTATTAGGTAGTGGTTCGGGGCTGGGCCGGCCCCTCCATCAGAGGATTAGGTGAGTGCAGAGCTGGGGAATTGCCCCACAAACTCTCCCTCTGGTCATGGCTGGACAGGTGCAGAGTCAGAGGCCCTGGATTAAGAAAAGCTCTGGTTTGAAGAGGATCTTTCAGACTAGCACCCTGGGTAAGTCTCGGAACTCCAGGTTTGCTCAGGGTCTTGTAGAAGAATAGAGGCCACTGCTTTGCATGGAAGGTCTTTCTGGGCCTGGCTCAGAACCCTGGAGAGAATGCTCTCCTGGGTTCTCGGCAGGAAAAGCGCTATTTGGGGTGGGTGGGTGGGTATCCTTGGGATATGAAGCCCACAGGTGATGGCCACCAACTGCACCATCTTGTTCTCT